TTGGGTGCCGCCGTCTTCTTAGTAAGAGTTCGAACATTTGAACATTCAGCTCCTCGCTGAGCAGGACCCGATGCTGTCCCAGTTTTGGCTGCTATGCGGCAAACGTTGGCATCCTTTCCTTTTGTTGTCCGATGTTCCACTTGCTGCTTTGTAATCACTTCCGATTCTCGCGCCACAGTGACGTTTTTCTGTCAGTCCAGATCAGGATCCAGTTGAAGTTTTTCTGAAGTCCTGCTGTCCCGAAGACCAACAATCAGTCTGTCGCGGATCAATTCTTCCGTCAGTGGTCCATAGTTGCACGCAGTGGTTAGTCCATGAAGAGCAGTGAGGTAGTACTCGACGGATTCCGTTTGCAGTTGCAATATTGCGGTAGACATGGCTCTCACGTACGCCACATTTCGATATGGAATGATGTAACGTTCGAAGTTCTTCATCACCTTGTCGAAGTGTTCAGCCTCGGCCTCGGACAGCTTAAACGTCTGTATGACGTCTTCAGCTTGTGGTCCCATGATGTAAGTGAGAGCGCCGCCTTGGTGTGATGCTGGTCGAGATGCCAGTCCTGATGCACTCTGGAAGTGCTTGAATCTCTTCTTCCACGCCGGTCATACGTTCGGTGTTGTGAAATTGAAGGCTTCGGGTGGCAAGATGCGAAAAGTTACCGTTACCGATTGTTGCGTAGCACCGTTGTCGGCAGAAGTTGGGGGCTTGTCCATTGTTCCGTTGCTTGTAGTCGATCCTGCGCTTTACTAATAATTGGTAGACTCTCGGAGAAATCCCACTTCTGACACCATGTTTCGCTTTGTGTAATTTTGGCGAAGAGAACACATACACAAACTTTCGTGCCGGAGCCAAGCTGAAGACTGGGGTCTATTTGTTAAAGATAAAGCGAAATAAAAGAAAGACACCTCGGGTACGGGGCGCTTACGTGCGCAGCCGGGAACGGATGTACATCTCGGGCTCCTTGCGAAGGGTGGTTCTCGGTCGCTGTGGACTTTGGAGCTCGCGAGCGTCGGCGACTCCATGAGAACCAGGAGAGGAGGAAGGGAGGGGAATATGGGGAAAAAGGGCACACCTTCCCCTCCGTACCCCTCTCCCTCCTCCTCGGGAGCTGCGCTCTAATTCATCATTACAGAGAGTTGTAAACGTCCTTCATTTTTTTTTGGCACTTTACTCTCGTTTCTCGTGTGACGTTAAATTTGTATTTTTATCATCCTGCGGCTTATGTGTTTGCTCACATTATTTTAGCCATTAAATTAAATTTGTATTTTTATCATCCTGTGGCTTATGTGTTTGCTCACATTATTTTAGCCTATATATCAGCGGAAGCATTTGTAAACCTTCACTTCTTTTATATATATATTTAATTAATTAAAAGTAAAAGTATATTTAAAAAGTAAAAGTAAAAGGGTGCATCAAGATTGAGAAGTTTTGAATCCAGTCGTGTTTTATATGTTTCTTGTTTTCTCTAGTATTTGACTTCAAAAGCAGTACGGCGAGTGAATTTGTGAGATATTATTAAAAGTTCAGACGAAAGGCGTTTCACACGAAGTATCAGAATACCCTAACTGTTCAATCGAAACACAAGACAGAAGAGTGTGTATTACTTAAGTACATTTTGCAACCTCCACGATACATTTTATGGTTACTTAAAATAGTTAAGTAACTGTCTTGCATGCTAATTGCTAAAATTTAGCTCTTGTTCTGATTATCGACTAATTAATGCATGTACAGGTCCCCTCAAAGTAAAACGGAGCGCCGGAGCGGCGACCGAACTGCATCGCCGCGCTATCTATAGCAGCTCCGGCTGCAACTGATAGGTGACGTCTGCGCATGCGCGTGTGCCGTTCACGGTGTCCTTCGTCTTTCTTGTTTGATCCTCGCATCATCGGCGTCTCGAGCTGTTAAACGCTGTTCCGATAAACGCCGCTAGGTGTTCGGCTCACACGCGGAGATAACGCTGAGGGCAAGTGGGAACGGGCCAGTGTTGTCGGTGAGCACCGCCCCTTGTGCTATCAGGCGTCGATTTTAGGGAGATCTTTGCGCCGCTTGAACCGCCGATAACGTGTGGGTTGGAGAGAAAAAAGCGGAGGCTCCAGCGGACGGCACGTTCGCATGCGCAAATGTAGCCTATCAGTTCCAGCCGGCGCTGCTAGATAGCGTGGCGATGCAGTTCGGTCGCCGCTCCGGCGCTCCGTTTCACTTTGAGGGGACCTGTACATACCAATTTGCACCACAAGCTCAAATACGTTTGTTGTTAAAAGAATATTAAAATGTATGTTATTAACAGGATTTTTTTGTTGTCAGTAGACTTTTCAAGAGCGCTGGACCGGAGCTGTGGAAGAAACTGGCCACATGCTCATGAAAGATACATAATTGGAGGGCGACCTTCGCTTGAAGGAGAATTTCCGTGGATGGTATTCGTATCTATTCTGCAATTTTTAATACAAATTTTTATGTTTCAGGTTCACGTCCTCCAAAGCACCTAGTGCATAACCCCCCCCCCCCCTCCTTTTTTAGAGAAAAAAAAACGCTTTTTGGCGAAGCATACAGTTTCTGCAAATACACAATATTGGCCAGACAACTTGGAACATGCCCTGGAGACTGCGCTGGCAGCTTTTTCTCTGTAGTAATGGTTCGCGACGACGTTTGTTAAAACATTATGTTAGCCCGAAAAGATGACTGTGCACGCGAGCTGTTAAAAGTGAATTATATTGTGTTACACACGAGACTTGCTGACTCTTTTTATCTTATACTGCAAAGAAAAAACCCAAGAGAAGAAAGGCCTGAAACTCATCTGAGATTTCTTTTTCTTGCTCCTAATACAGAGTATAAGTATACGCATAGCACATAAATAAAGGTTAACGTCATATCAGCTTCTGCGAAAGGAATGATTTGGGAAAGTTTATAACTTTCGATATAATTCGTTTTAAAAACTTCCAGTAATTAAATCATTAGTGAGTAAAATTATATAAGTATGGTTTAATTAATATATTTTTGAGGGTCATCAGGAACCACCTACATAACTCATTTAAAAAATAGACAAGAAAAGTACAGCATTTCACTGCTTTCCAAAAAAATGCTCATTTTCGATGCATTTCTGGGCTTCGGTTTCCAATCAGAGCTGATATTCGCACCAGCGGTTCTGCCAACCTCAGATTTTAAGGATACAAGTAACGCGCGTTTCTTCTATTGTTTCCCCTTTGTTGCGCATCATTTGTCTATAAATACACCACAGATATTAAGACCCCCTTCGGCTGGTGATGAGATCTGGGCTTTAAGATACGTTGACGACCACATGATGTAGTTCCGTAAGGTCTCTGTTCAGCTTCACTCATTTATGTTGATTTTTGCCAGGCAAGAAGCAGTAGATTAAAGTCTACAGCTTTTCTACATTAAACTTAACTTTATAGAGGCTCATGTGTACTGGGGCCTAGTAGCAAAGGAAGGTATCCATCCTTTTTTATTTAAACCTCTCGGAACTGGTGAAATGTGAACTTGCGATGAGTTTTCCGTGTGAAGCACTAGCGAACTCGCGCCCACACTAGATGGCGACCAGTTTTGCTAACCAGGCAATAAAGCTCACGGACGGAGGCTATTTGACGTCCTACATGCAGGTGCAGCTGAGAGTATATTGCCAGGGCTTCAGGACTGCGAAGAAGTGTGCCGCGAGAGGTATACAATAGTGATATGTTTATTTCATGTTTGCACTGATAAAAAAAAGAGAAAAGCCGGGCGAAAAATTGCTTACAAGCAGCTTGACGAGGCTTGGCCTCCCTCACACAATTTGGCTGAAAGCAGTGGGAAAAGTATTTTAACAGAATGCATACTTCATGCGGGTATTAATCAACATTATAATCCTGTACAGACCTCGAAGTTTTCAACATCAAGTTACGTAACGTATACTTGGGAAACCTAGAAATCTCAAGGTTTCTATTTTCAAATTGATTAAGAAGTGATGGTAGTGTATACCTTGAGGATGATAAACCGTAATAGGTGCTTGTGGTGTTTACACACCAACTCTCACCATGTCGAGTTACATAACACGGATTTCTTTTTCCAAACCTGGCAACCCGCAAAGGAAAAAGCTGTCAATATGTGTAATCGTTGTACTGTACACAAACATCAAGGAGAACCATTCTCATGCCTTACGTGTACGCTATACCTATACGATTTTCCATAGGCTGCCGAAAATAGGTAAAGCGTCATGGCGTGCCTGTGTTTTTCTCGGCGCTATTAAAGTTGGGTAAATTGTGCGCTAAAGTTGCCAGGGGACGATTTAGTGTATCTGGACATGGGGAAATGCTCAGGGTGATGCCTGTGCCGTGCGCGGTTGGAGTGGTTTATAACATTAAGTATTGTGGGAATGTGCAAATAAAGCAGAGTGGCACATTCGAAAACAAGCTATTAATAGAGCCTTCCTTATCATTCAGATAGTCACCTGCGGAAAACTTGGTTGTCAGCTGAAGCAGACAATACTAGCACGCCACAGACTTCAGATCACTACGGAAAGTTTTAAGTTGTTTTTGTAATTTTTATTTACAAGAACAATGAGGGATACATACGGCAGAGCCCCTTCGATTGCATTGTTCGAAAACGTGATATTTCTTTTGTAGTTGCGGCGCATGTTTGTGACCGATGATTGTTTATGATGCTCTAGTTTCTCCTGGGTATGTGTTTCTTTTTAATATATAGCTTGAAAGTCAGCGCTCCATCGGTCTAGTGTTCCCCGTTTCCTAGTGCTTAATTTGATTAGCAAAGTTCGCTCTTCGTAACCATGTACAAATATAAAATACGCTAGTTCAGTTGGTGCTATTCTTGCAAGCCACAAATATAGCTTTGCAATTTTATTTAAGGCTAAGGAAATGAGTTATCTTCAACATTTGTTGTTCACAATTATGATATGCGCCTTAAAAAGTTCAAGGATTATGATAAACTATTGCGGTACAGCTGGTTGTTATTGTTGTTTTCTGTCAAAGCATAAGATTTGCGATGGAAAACAAATGACAGACTACCAACATGTAATTAACTTATAGATCAATGAAATTAGTACAAATCTAAAATAACAGGCAATTCCAGTAACAACGAAAATATGGTTTAAGCGTTTTTTTATTATATTTGAATTGTTTAAGTTTTTGGATGCCCTAATTTTGTTGTTTCTTGTACAAAGGTTTCCCTGCAATTTATTAAAGACTATGTCCACTTCTGTGGCGGAAGTTTAATTACTGCAGATTTTGTGCTGACGGCTGCGCATTGCCTTAACTCGTAAGCATTTCTTAAATCAAGTTTTGACGGGAATCATTGAATAATTCGTATATATAAACAATTGTTGACTTGAACACCAATATAAGTGAAAAGCAGACCGTCAAGCTCGCCTAGTTTGTTATTTTATAGCCCCTTTTTTAAGTTAGACTTATAATTGCCTACGAAAATATCCTAGTTTAGTCGACTCTTGCATGCGAATTTGACTTAAAAAAAAACAATGGTTTATGCTTCACGATAACAAATCCTTTGGAGGACGAATACATGAAAGGATATAACTTCGAGGACGGGGACGGAAACGGGACTTTTTTCATTGAGCTACAACATAAAATGATCATTCTTTGTTGTTGCTCAATGAAAGAAGTCCTGCTTCCTTCCCCGTCCTCAATGTTTCATCCTTTCATGCACTCGTATCTATTCAGCGACACGCTCGTTTTAAAATATTAATTTTGGAGTATCAGATGTGAATATTTTTTTCGTTTTGGCTTACGTGGTATTTCAGCACTAGCCCACATAAAGTCAGAGTTATGGCTGGATATATAAACCACAAAAGAAAAGGGGGCTACCATCAATCACGTCTCGTAAGTGGAAGATTCTTCTAAGCGAATGTTTAAAACGTAAATATTGCTAACCTATTTCGAAAGAACTCTATCTTGCAATTTCAGAGTTTGTAGATGTGTTGCGTAATATAAGCCCGTTAATTTAAATAAAACGATACCGTCCACTTGAAACTATTGCGTTTTCACCAAATAATATTTCTCTGCCACTCCAGTTCAAAAATAGCTTACGTTCATTTTTTAAGAAAAAAAAAACACTTTATAAGTTAAGCCATCATCTCTAAGTTCAGTTGCACAGAGACGAATCGGTCTGAAAGACAGAGTTTCTGCCATCTTGGAGAATTCTCAACTAAGAGGATGGATATATATGGGAATTTTCAGATGACATGTCCCGTTGGCATCAAAAGCTTTGATTGGGCAGCTGCGAATATTTAGCTAATTGATTCATAATTTCAGACAGCGCTGAATTACGCATCAATTAAAAACATTATATCCCTAATGAGGCGCTCGTTACTTTTGACTTATATCAACCTTTTGTGCTGTGGGTCATTATTGCTGGCGAATATACAATATTTGTTTATAGTACTTTTTTAATTTTTTTTAGTATTGCTACTTTGTCTCAGCACGGTCTCGAGGGCAGCCAGCTTAAATAAATATAAAGACATACTTTATTTATGTACCAGTACACCAATCGTTTTCGGTGATGTGTTATGAATTTGCACGAATAAAGCTCAGCTCACAAGAATATATGTTTTTTTTTTTAATATTTTACTCATATAATTTTTCACCACATTTTCCAAAACAATGCGTCACTTTTTACACCTTTGATGTAGATAGCATTGCACTATGATAGGGGACTTACTCATGTGGTCTGTTCAAATGAGCAGGACACGAATTGGGTCACAATGTATTAATTCTAGTACCCTTAATAAAAGATATGTAAACAAAAAATATAGGCGCATTTTAGAAATAACATGCTGGGCTAATAAAAATCGCGATTTACAGTACGTTTGTCATCGGTAAAATACTTAGATATTTAGAGTAATGGTTTCACACTATAGGTACTTACTGAATCTGTTGTCAAAACAGGCGGTTGTAGTATGTATGAAATACACAATCAAAACGAAAAGCGCGGTGTAATTAATGTCGCACAGTGAATATTGCAATTTCATTCATATCTAGTCTCCATTACCACCAAGCTTGTTTTTTTTTATTTTGTTTTTAGTTTTAGTACAGATCATACATAAGCACATATATTATAGAAATTACAATACCACAAGAAGAAGAGGTGACGAAATGAAGGTACCGTTGATATTGTAGTCGATTAATGGCATATGCATTATAAGCCTAACCAGCTCACTTAAATATGAAGCTTCTAGCAAGAATTATTCAGACCAGTACAGTATTAGTGTATATTAGTTGCGTTATACCAGCTCGGTTCTGAACAGCTCGCTGTGCCACTTCTCGTGGTATGTTTGTGCTATGTCCAGAGCTGAACATTATAATGATATAAATTTGTATATAACATAAGACGCCCGGATATATAACTACTTTGTTATTTAAACCGCCATGCAGAATTGTTTCATTTTATAATTACGTTTTAAGTACATAAGCTTTTCTTATCGTTCTTAGGCTCGACATAATTTTTTTTTTACATAAAAGGTTGGCGTCTTTGCCGTCTTACTTTTATTTCTCATGGTAGCAGAGTGCTAGCAAAGTTACTACGCAATATTCAATCTCACATATACCTACTTGTTTTTAGACAAATGTTTACAATCGGTTTCAAGAGGCGGGCGCAGCTGGCCAAGTAGGGAGCGCACTGGTAGCCTAGAGGTTATCATGCTTGGCTCCCACGCAAAGAGCCGAGGTTCGACTCATGGCTGCGGATGCACCTTTTTGTTGTTTCAGTAAATGTACGAGCCGAAGCTCCTACGTCGATTGTGTTCCAGAAGCCCACGCGTGTTCATAGATAAGGGGTTCCGCGTGGCGAGCCGGAGTCAGTTTCGCCCCAGCGCTCGATTCTGCTGTTTCGACGAATCAATGCCTGCGACGCTAACCTTCTGTTCTGCTGTTTTGGGCACAAGTTCGCCCTATTAAAAGTTTAGTTTCTACAGTTACTCGCCGCCTCATCAGTTGTCATTCGTGACAGTGTGAAATACAGTCTCAAAACGAAAAGCGAGCTGTAGCACACAATGTATATTGTATTTTCATAACTATAAAATGTTCATTCTCACCAACTTTTTTTTTAAATTCTAGTACAGAGCATGCATGAACATATATATTCTAGAGGTTACAAAGTCGCAAAAAGAAGGTGTGACAAAAATGAAGGCACTGTTGAAAAATGACTTCTAGTGCATTAGGTTTATGCTTTATGTGCATAACCGATTTTTATACTTCTGAGCATTGTAGTTGATTAATGGAGTATGCGTTATAAGCACAACCCATTGATCTAAATTTGAAGCTTCTAGCAAGAATTACTCAGACCAGTACACTTTTAGTGTATATAAGTTATGTTATGCCAGTGAAGTTCTGAACAGCTCAAAATAGCACTCCTCGTGGTATATTTTTGCTGGGTTCAGAGCTATGCAATATTATGGTATACACGCTTATATAGCATAGGACACCCGGATATATAATTATTTTGTTATTTCTACCGTCATGTAGAATTGTTTTCGTTTATAATTAGATTTCAAGTACATGACTTTTCTTATTATTTTCGAGTTTTGAATAATTTCAGTTTTTTAACATTGAAATTTGGCCTGTTTCCTGCTGACTTCTATATTTCACGCTAACGAAGTGCTCGCAAAGGTACCACGAGAAAGTTAATCTCATATATACCCACTTCTTCTTTGACGAATGTTAACAGCCTGTAAGTTTCAAGAGCACATGTTTGGATGAGCGAACTATAAAATCTCGATCTCTGAGGTACCATTCATGCATCTTACAGGTGAAGGAGTTTATTATTCACGAAAAATATGGAACCCTTTGGAAGAACGACATTGCACTACTCAGGCTCAGGAAGCCTTTTGATCTTAAAAGTAGTGAAGGACACATTGGAACCGTTTGCCTTCCAAATGAAAACGTGAAACCGATGACCACCATCACCGTATCAGGATGGGGGCGACTTTCAGAATGTGGGTAAACACAAAAATCTGGATATCACTTTTTGTTTTCTTTGATTTCATTTATTTTACCTTTAAATCGCTCTCAGAGAGTTTTACATAAGGAGCAGAACACCAAAATACATGGTTACTAACATAAAAGAACAATAAAACAGTTATCTATTTTTTGTTTACATTTCTAACAAGCGAGCAAGTCCACCTAGAAAATCGGTAGGGCCATGCATGGTTACAGTGTCGATTTGGAGTGAATCGGGAAAGCCTGCAGAAAGCAGCCCTTCCCAAAGCGCGCTATTTAATTATCGGTTGCTTGCCTCCGGCATACCCCAGGTACCACAGTGCTTTGAGCCGAAATTTGTTTTGTTTTTTTGTCTCTAGTAATCCAGCATCTTAAAAAACCCGACGAAGCCAAAGTAGAGCCAGACTTGACCCTCTCTGACCAGAATCTGAGCACAATGACACATATTTGCCAAGCGAATGCGAAGGTCAGATTTTAATACTTATAGTTTGGTTGTCATTTGGCATGTTTGGGCCTAAGTCGTCAAATATAAGTTCCGGAGTTAGGCATCGCCTTCTGGGTGTTCGATTGCCATGTGGGAACTTTTGGCCCCATTTTCCAGGCTAGTGTCAAATTTAGGATTTACTGCTGGTTCTTAGGTTCATGCGTGTGGAATCTTTGACTCATGTCTGGCTCTTTGGCGATTCTGTGGTGAACCAAAGAATTTTTCGTCTTGCTTGGATAGCTTGGATATCCCCGAAGAAATTTTTGTCCTGCTCCCAGCTTCTTAAAATTACTTTTATATAAAACATTAGTTCGTACTAAATTGGAATATGCAGCTTCGGTTTGGGAACCTGGTCAAGAATCACTTGTCTTCGAATTAGAAGTGATTCAGAACCGCGCATCTCGTTTCATCCTTTCAAATCATCACTTCCTTATAAAAAAGTCTCCGAAATTTCCATATTTTTTGTTTTTTTCATAAGGAAGTGCGACAGCGACACGTGCATCAGCGCCCCATCGATAGCATTGTACGATTCGGAGGTGGCGTATCTTCAGTCCTTTTTTTAGCCCAAGCTAGAAAGATTATATGTAGATTATTGAACAATGTTTTTACATGACGTGGATGGTTGTTGAGAAGGCATATATGTTTCTTCTTTGGTTTAAATCACATTAAACCTCAGTTGCAAGTTTGCTCTACAGTGTGTGTGTCTTCTTTTACTGGTCCTCGTTTTTTAGCGCTTTTAATCCTGAAATGTACAACCAACTAGCCCAAGTGAATACCCCCTCTCACTTCTGCTCGTTCTTTCTATAAATGAAGTGAAACTATAGTTCACTCGCTTTACCTTTAGAATCACCATATTGTAAGTTTTATAACTTTTTCTACGCAGAAAAAAATGTATATTGCTTTAGTACTTGTTTTTCAATTATAGTTCGAATATCGGGAAGTATTGCAATGAACTGATCATTTTACATTTTTAATTAATCCTAGTTTTTATTAACAGAAACAAGGTGTTGGAAATTTTAGCTGTGAAGGACAACCATCAGAGGAGAAAATTGAATTAGTAATGCCTGCTAGTAGAGTTAAAATAAATAAAACTTGTATCATTTGAGAGGGCATTAAAAGAAAGAATATCCGTATTAGGCTTTCTGACGCGTCATATAGAGATACAAAGCACACATTGAATGCGCTTCATGAAACTGGTATACCTCGTTCGAAATGAATTATATCACAAGACTACAATAAATATAGTTTTGGATGTAAACTCTTAACATTCGAGGCGTGTGTAAACTCGGAAAAAATATTCACTTAATGTACTAAAGCATTTACATTCCAAGTCTAAACGACCCAGCTCATGACTACTTTTTAATTATTGTCGCTGGGATGTGTCACGCGTGCAAACATAATCCCAATACTGTGGCACCGGTTTGTGTAAAAAGAAAATAAACAGCTTAACTGCACCCTTGAAAAGTCATTTTCTCATATTCACCTCGGGAGCTATTTTGCTCAGAGCTCCCGAGGTGTGTACATACCTCAGCGTGCTTGGTCATGGAATGAATATCTTACTGTGAAATGCGCCTTATTTATTATTCAAGTTTACAAACGTTTAGATATATGAACTTTTTTATTAATAAACCATAATTGTGTGTCTCTAGATGGGCGACGTCCTAACTTGTTGCGGGCTGTCGATCTCACAGTGAGAAAAAACTCGTTTTGTAGAAGAGGCGAAAAGGCATTCATACCAAGGATTATGTTTTGTGCCGGAAGGCCTGGAAAAGACACATGTGATGTAAGTTTTTTTTCCGCTGTTTTTATCCTGCTCTCCCAACTGAGATAGGTATTGTTTATTTTAATTAGTTAGCAACAACTTGGAACATATGAGTGTAAGTATGTTGAAAATAGCCTTTGACATCAACTAGACTACCCGAAGCGAGCATATTATATTGTATATTGTTATCTCGCAAAACTTTTTTTGCATAGAATGATGTATCCGAGATAAAGGTTATATGGTTTCGAACTTCGAGGTCTATATGACAGGAAGTGTATATAGCAATGCACTCCCCGATATATTCTCAGCAGCTATAAAAAACAACTAAATGTTTAGACGTGACGGCTAGGCTAGTCTCCGAACAGAAGCTCGTTGAACATTTGAGATTGTGGGAAGCCTTCAATGAACCCCTCCAAAAATATGTTTCATTCACGTAACTTGACTTAAAATAATCTTGTGACACCTGTTTATTAGAGAACCATGGAATATTGTTATTTCTTTAAGGGTTCACTGATAAACAAAATAACACAAAATTCTCAAGAAAATCCATTTGCTCAATATTTTAGTATGATGGGCATATGAACACCATACCGCACCATGTGTAGGTGGGCTCCATCATCATCATAAGCATATCTCCGGCTGCGTCTTCAATAAAACTATTTTCACATTGCCAATGCCTGGAGCAGACACCCGTCAAATTGCTTAAAAAGGCCAGGATATTTACGTGACTCTTGAACGTTTAGGAATTGGAAATAATGATTAAATTCAACTATGACTTCATAGCACACTTTGTGGGCTACAATAAAATTCAGAAATGAAGTAGAAATCTGAACATAAATGTCTTAAAGAACAATAAAATTATCTTCCTCGATGTGACAAATTTCAATAAAAAACAGAGCCCATATTCATTGATGGATCTCTGTTTACCTATATATTCAATAGAATGCTATTTGATGTCCATATAAAATGTAATGGGTTCTTCCGATGTTATGAAGAGCTCAAACTCTCTGAATGTTGTGCTTTTCATGAACCATAGCGCGATTCCGGAAGTCCAGCGGTGCAGAGAAAAAGAGGCGTGACGTTCCAAGTCGGCATTGTGTCGTACGGAAGACCTTGTGGAGAACATTCTGGATACTATATCCGGGTGTTCAGCTATAGGAAATGGATTGAATATAATATTGGCACTGCCAATGATGTAACATTGTTTTCAAATAAAGTTCTTAACCCCTTGCAATACATTTAAAATAAAGAAGTTCACCACCTGCCTCCATATAAAGGTTGTGAAAAAGTTTCCAATCAAAGTTTTTCACCACCTGTGTCAAGAACAGTTCAGCGAGTTTCATCATCAATCTGTCTTATTTTTTACGGTGCCTTCAATATTTGGTGAAGAAACACTTTCTTGGCTAAAGTAGTTGTTAGAAAATGGTCTTATAATGCTAACTGAGCAAAGATTGTAGCTAGACATTCTGATGTAGATTAATGCGTCGGTCAGCTTTTCCCCCCCAACCACAATGCCTGCTGGATTATTCAGTTCATAAGTTATTACATCGATACCTTAATTATTGGTAAATCAAAACGCTAGAACGTTCGTTATATGACCCGTCTGAAATATTAAGCAGTGACAAGCTTATTATGGCCTCTAGTGTAATAGTTCTGATGCCATGACAATTTCAGCAAATGTCTAACTCTTACGTTAAATACAAAATGGTGAAGTTTTATGGAATAATACCAGTTTAGCAGCAGTATTGTAAGACATCCTGATAAAGCTTAACTTTTGTCTACCTTGCAGCCCATACCACAGTGCTCGCTGCCTGACTTTGATTTTAATAATTTGTAGAGACACCAACATGAAATTACTGTACAGATATGTTGAACCCTCGCCTTAGTGAAAAAACAGCTTAAGGTAGTTCCATCTTCAAAAATGATTATTGCCTCAGCATGCCCAGTTTGGCACGCTGGTCATACTGGTTAAAGTGGTTAAAGTGGTCATGCTGGCGGACCTCCCAACCAGTTCAACCTGCTTAATTAATACACAGGATAAATAATCCAAGCTCTTCGAAAAGCCAACTCGGCCTCTAATTTATTATTTTCGTACTTGCGGCCTGCTCACATGAGCTCAGATGTTACATATACTCGGCGCTGAAAAAGCCCTAACCGGCGCACAGAAGGATCTCGGTGCAAAAAAAAAAAACAGTGGCATTAAAACCAGATTGCTTTTTCTCAACACGAAAAATACTATACACGCCAAAAGCAGGCAATAGCAATAGACAGTACTACACGGATAAGGGAGGCGAACCTAGGTCCCGCCAGTGATGGGGGCGAAGCAGCCTCTTGTGTGGTCGGCAGAGGCGAGGAAATCCGTGTGGCTTGGATGGCATTGGCGATACTCCTCGACACCACCGTCATTCTCGAGCACATACACGTTTGAAGACACGAAGCGACGCCTCAGTCGGGACGTGCGACCTCCTCCCGCAGTGAACCGACTGCCGCTCGCTGTCTGCTCAAAACCCGCTTCGCTTGCACCGCCGTTCAAGTAGTCTCCAAACAACAAGCACACAGCCGTCCCTTCAAAACTCTGCCCAAATTAGCCAAACGTGTATCGAATTCTCCGTTCCTACCATTCTCTCTCTCTTTTCTCGCACGCAAAGGCAGCTCGCAGGCACCTGAAGCGCCCAGTCGTCTACCAAAAACGAAAGGACAAAGAACAGGACATGTCCTCGTCCCACCCTAAGCCGACCTTGGCGCGCGCTCCCAGCAG